ATTTTTCATAAAATCAACGCTTTCTTTTCCGTATACCAGATATTACGGAACCACTTCAGTAGGGTCAGCAAGTCAGATTCCAGGAATCGGAACTGGAATTAAAGAAAAAATACACATTATTCCATTTCTCCCTAAACATTTTAAGCATCAAAGTCTTTAGCTAAGATATGAAATAGCGTGTAAAAAAGTGGTAGTTTTAAGCTTTTCTGCCAATATAATATGGTATCGTGTATCTAAAGAAATTAATAACGATATGATTATATTCGTGTACTGCGACATTTCTTTGAAAAACTAGAATAGCAATATTATGGACAATTAATTTACTTTTATATTTCTAAATATCACAACATGATCGAATTTAAGTCATTTTAATAGCAATGAATAGTCACCTATGCGTTACAATACAAACATTTATATTGATTTAAATCACGTTTTGATTTAATCACAAACGCGTGTTTAAATATATGTGTTTTTTCACAATCAGACAAATGCAACATAAATTGATATCTTAATAAACTTTCAGCATAGCTTTCTCCCCGTTTAGATTTATTTTTCTTGGGATCTTGGGATCAAACGTGGAAAGATTAGATTGTAATGTATTTTAAATACATTTTAGAAAAGTGTAATCTTTACTAAAAAGCTGTACACCACCTGCTATAAGATACATATTGTAATACTTTCGGGCTCGGATAGGACGGACACAAGAACTCAGACTTGTGGAGTTAAATCTCAACAAAACAACAACAAATCTCAATATCTTGTACGGATTATTCGAAATACAAACCAAAAATAGCCCGCAAACTCTCTCAAATTCCTCAAATTATCATAACCCCGCCCTTTATGCAAAACCAAACCCTCCTCCCATCCCAGTTTATCCTCTTTATCATAAACAAAATCCACCTCAATTTTCAACATAAAGCATTACACAAATCAATACCTCAACACTCCATACTCAACAACAATAATTCACAAACAGCCAGAACATGTAACTCTACATTCCCAAATATACCTCATTTCCATAGCCCCCCCCCCCCTTATGCAAAACCAACATCCCTCCTCTGCTCTCTCTCTCCACTGGCGTTTGTAATCGTTTTTATTTTTCAAAAAATTTGAGCAAAGTCATGTATTTTAAAAATCTTAATTTATGTCTTTATGTAGTGGTTTCATTAGTGACAAAGGCTAAACTTTCTTGGAAAAACGTCTTTTATGTAAACCATGTTTGCTATTAATTCATTTAGGGCTAAAATATGTTCATTGTCTTCCAATGAAAGAAGGGTTCCTTTCGCCGTAGTCGGGTTGACATTAAAAGCTTGCCACGCCCGGACTGTTACACCAGTGCATTAGCATGTTAAAGTGATTTCATTGATGAGCCTAGCTTTCTTAACTAGTAAGTACTGTACTTACTGGGTGGTTTTGGAGGGGGGAGGTGTCTTTCGCTGGAAATCTCGCCCCCTCCTACTTTGAAAATACCTGTGAAACCGGTTTAATTCATCACAGCCAGCACTCCCGCGGAGAGGGGGGTTGTACTTTCAGTGCATCGGTATAGATGGGAAAGCCAGAGCCGACCCACGTGTTATGCTCTTCATTAATGTCTAAGCCGGAACACATCATTATATCTTATTTTGTATTTCTATAAAAAAAAATAGTTTGCCAACCCTAACACTATTGTTGTTATTGTTTTTATCCTGTAAAGCGCTTTGAGGAGCCACCTTTAAAGGTGCCATATACAATAAAGTTCATTATTATTATTATTATTGTTAATTTGCTGGACAGAGAGGTGAACATTATTACGCAGAAGACAAAGCGATTTACATTGCATTGTGCATTATGCTGCTGTAATACAGTTTTAAATAATTAAAAGTCTAAACAGTATCAGCTTTATTTATGGGTTTTAAATAAAGGCGATTTAAACGCGATTTAAATCAATATAAATGTTTATATTGTAATGCCTAGGTGACTATTCATTGTTATTAAAATGACTTAAATTCGATCATGTTGTGATATTTAGAAATATAAATTTGTTTGATGTCGGGTGCGGAAACTGGAAACTATCTACATGGAAAACTGGCGTTTCCAAGTGCTGGTACAATCGATGGAAATGTTCAAATAAATGTGCAAAAGAAATAAACAAAATAATAATTTATTTCTTTATCATATTGGCTAGCTAATAACCTCTCTTTGCTACTTAGTGGCTGTGTTTCTGCCTTGGGTAGCAACGGGTGATTATGTTCTCAGGCGGAAGATGTAAACAGCTTAATTTTCATGTTAATTTTTTTTTAATTAAAATTCATTCTATACAGCACTCGCATATTTGGGTACAGTTTCATAAAACTTTCATCCTTAAAATGTTTAGGGAGAAATGGAAGACTGGTGTGTATTTTTTTTTTGAACTACCAAGACCAGCCATACACAGTACAGTTTACATACAGTAATGTTTATGTTCCTAAATTAATATCGTTTATGACCTTCAGTTGCGTTATGCTCCTCTTCTTTTTATGCTCAGCTACTAAAATTTCCCTTTAGTGGTAAAATTTCATATAAATATTCAATACTAAGCTGATTAAAATGTGCACAGTCAAGAGATTAAATGATTAAATCTTTTCACTACCGACCAATGCACCATGAGTGCCCCTGTCGGTCATTTTGGCCAGGCAATCACTTACTGCGGTGCCCTGCGGTGGCTTTCCCGTACCACAGGTTTGTACCGTGCATTTTGAATGGCTGCATCTGTAAATGTGTTACTAAAGAAATAAACAAAAAAGTCATTTATTCCTTTATCATATTGGCTAGCTAATGTCCTCTCTTTGCTAGTTACTTGTGGCTGTGTTTCTGCGTTGTGTAGCAACGAGGGACTATATTCTCAGGCAGAGGAACGTAAACAGCTTAATTTTCGTGCTAAATACATTTTTAAAATTAAAATTAATTCTATACAGCATTCGCATATTTGGGGACCGTTTTATAAAACTTTGTTGCTTAAAATGTTTAGAGAGAAACAGAAGACTGCTTTGTATTTTTTCTTTCAACTACCAAGACCAGCCATATACAGTACAGTTTACATACAGTAATATGTTTATGTTCCTCAATTAATATCGTTTATGACCTTGATTTATGCGTTATGCTCCTCTTCTTTTTATGCTCAGCTACTAAAATTTCCCTTTAGTTGTAAAATTCCATATAAATATTCAATACTAAGTAAAGACATTAAATGATGAAATCTTTCCACGACCAACCAATGCACCACGAGTGCCCCTGTCAGTCATTTTGGCCAGCCAATCACGTAGTGACGTAATGACGTAGTGAGTTGCCTGCAGTACAGGTTTGTCCCGCGCACTTTGGTAGGGACCCCCCCATGGATCGTCATTTTGTCGAGGTGGTGGGGCTTGTGTACCTCAGGGATGCGTAGAACTGTCACCTGGAGCCTTGTGCTCCTGGTAGGGTCTCCCTTGGCAAAAGGAGACATCCACCAATACATTTTCCAATCAACTTATTTGATTAGAAAACTTTCAGAAGCCAATGAACCTACCAGTATTTCTTTGTCCTGTGAGATCACCCAGGACTCCATAGAGATAGCACTCCAGCAATTGCACTAAAACTAGTTATTCCAATTTCATCACCACAGAATAAGGAATTTTAAAGATGCCCTTTAACAGAAATCACCATTGAAGTTTTAAATGTATATTTGGTTTTTAAATACTAGATTTTTTAAAGCCACTATGTGTGTTTTTATAATTATGATTTAAGATGTTTTTCTGTAGCTGCCCTTTTTTCTTTACCATTAGTACTGTAAAAAAAAGAGTCCAGATTAAAAAAAAGCAATTTGAATTATTTTGTCCTGTACCAAAAGGTGCATTTGAAACCAGGTAATGAGGTGGTGAGTCTGGTGCAGCATAGGCTGGGACATAGTTAGATTCCCACTAGCAGCTTGCAGTCCTCCTGACCTGTGAATACTTCTGGAAACTATTACATATATTTTTAGAAAATAAACTCCCATCTCATGTCCCGTGTGACGTCCTTTTGCACATGTGCTGTTAACTAGTGAAGCACTAGCACTGGGTGGGACGTGCTGTACGTCACCACAGCCAGGTAGCAAAGGGACTCATGACATAGTCACCAGGAAGGTGCCCAGTGGGTTTTGTGGGAATTGGGAGTTCCTAAGCCAATCGCTTTAAGTTATTTATGGCCAGTTTCTGTAGCCGGGTCCTCTCCGATTGATGTTAACTGGCTACAAAATTAGTACATAACACCACATAATAATTGATTAAATTAAAAAAAAAATCCTTGTCCCAACTGCTATGAAAAACCAAATGGAATGTATTTTTCTACTATTGTACTATGTACAAATTTTCTTTTTTTGTTGAGGCAACAAGACACTACTAACAATATTGGTTAAAGCTACCAGTACGGTTTTATATATTATAAATATATTTATATTAATACATTAATATAGTTTATTAATATATGATGTTCAGAAACTTTTTTATTTTCAGATACCAGAATTTCCCTTTGCCTACATGATAACATATTAATAATCCATAATAAATTGATTTAAAGAAGTAGGACAACATAACATTTTTTTCCAAACATCCCCAGTAGTGCCACCTACTGATCTTCTTTGCCCAGCAAATATGCTTTTCGGCAGTGTAATGAATCACACTGCTGCAAAGTAATTTTCCCGTAGCAATGGGTTTTGATGCGTAATCTGAGTGGATGTATCAGCACATTACCATCATGTTCAAATCATCTTATAACTTCATTGTAAACAACAGAAAGGTTTCTGTTGTGTCAAGTGCTAAAGTTTCCCTGACAGTGTCTGATTACATATCATGCTGCAGTAGATTCTTTTAATTGTTTCTATAACTCTATAAGAATGGACAATGCAAGAATATGGACAGTAAGAAGATGGGTTATTGTTAGTGTCTTTATTTTTTTCATTACTAAAAACATGGAATACACCATTTACAGTAGGTAATGCAATGGTAGTATTTTTTCAATTAAGAAAATATAGCACCAAAAGACTTATTTATTGTGATAAAAAGCTTGTGTGCCGTGCTACTCCAGTAGTTAATTATACACAGTAGTCAATTCAGTGCTATGGCAAATAATCAAAATCGTTTCTCACACACCATCATAATACTATGCGATTTTACAAATCATTATTATTATTAAAATAATAAAAACACAAAATAACACAGTAAATAAAGAATATATAATATTACGTAATGAAAGATAAGTAGAAGAACAATTCCCAGTTACAAAATATTCTTGAAGACACTATTAGCATGTGATAATGATAATATTGTATATATGACAAAAACATTTTTGGTGGATATTGCAGTGCTTTTGGCAAATCTTAAGTAGGTTGGGTAAATAAAATATTTAAGATAATATGTATTACATATATAAAGGAGTCTATCTAATGTTTACAGGCATTTAAAAGCATAGGATACTTACTTAAAATCACTCCAAAGATATAAAAAGAAAAATATGAACTGCAGTCTACACTTGCTAAAACTGCACAATAAATTTAAAGTTTCCCGTCACGTGATGGATATGCACACCAGTTTTACACTTGATGATGTCTGACTAAAATAATGCATATAACAAAATTCGAAACAATTTTTAAAAACTGTCTGCTGAAAATTATTTTAGTATTGTGATATATGGAAATGCAGGCTTATGTGGACTCTGATCTATACTCTGTAAACGCCATGAGAACTTTAAAACATCTCACACTGATCTTGGTTTATCTTGGATGTTTTTAAATGTCAAGTAATTGCACTTTTGCATTGAATAGATATGTACACAGCTCATCAGGTTCCACACAAACACCCAAGGTGTTCATAATACTTCAGAAATCATAGTGGTTATATTCTAGCTGTACAGTGTCACATAAAATGCACAATTGGAAAGCTAAACAACTCAACAAGTTAAGTCTCTGAGCCATTAGGATTGTCAATGTTTTTTCACTATTCAACTTTTATTTTTCATTTTTCTGCTGTCATGCGTAGTTAGTGATTTTAAAGTAAAATAATACTTAATGTTCTCTTGACATTAATAAATCTGTTGAACAGGAACAAATACATTTCTACATAGGATTCATTACCCAGTTTTAGCATGCCATTTTCCATGGATCCCAAAAAATGCTCAGAGTGAATAGGGCTGCACTTGTTATGCTGCCATAGAACACCTTATAATTGTGTACCCTTCTGTTTAGATGTACCAGGCATTAGCTAGTTCACATCACAGTATGTTGGATTGTGACTCAAACATACTGTGATTAGAAGTAGAAGAATGTTCAAGGAGTGAACAAAGATTGGTCCCTGGGAGTCCATTGACACTTTGATAACTGGCCACTTGTTTTTTGATGAATAACTTTTGATTTATGTTACACTTTTGCATACTTGAAAAATGCAAGTCAGTGAAGTGGGTCTAAACCATCAGGATCAAGTTAATATAGCACGCTTGTCCTTTGCTCTCAAGAGGTAGCTCAGTTGTGAAACGTGTTACACTGCATAGCTGAAAACGACTTTTCCCTTTTTTATATTTTTATAAAAATACAGTAATTTTATTATTACAATGTCGGAAAACAAAAAATTGTAACATTGTATTGAATCAGACCTCTGTGCCATCATGTAAATTGTTATGACATTTGACTAAATTCACCTGCTTAAGCTTGACCTCTTTGACCTTGCAGGCCTCTTGGTTTTTATTGAGGATATTGTTTTTCACAGTGCAGTGCTTGGCGATTAAGTTCTTTTCAAGATGATCTACATTCCTCAGGCAGTCTTCAACTTTAGTGTTCAGTGGATACTTCTCTGCCAGATTTGTTGCATGCCTTTTTTTCTTCCCCTTTCTGTAGCTTTTCTTGGACAGAAAGCAAAAAGTAAATACAATGAGAGACAGGAAGATTACTGCAGCGATGGCACCACCTATGAAGTTACTTGTTTGTGCAGTGAAGGCTGCTGCCTGCATTTCCAATTTCAGGGTCTTCATGTTGGTGCCATTCTTCACCTGATCTCCCTCGTTGTCATAGATGAGTGATTCATCCAGAGTCAGGCGCCCTGTGTTATCTACAAGATCCCTCTGACTGCGCTTTAGCTGGTAGGTCAATGAGCGCTGGATCCTTGGCCCTGAACTGGCCTCTGGTCCAATTATATAGATTACTTGCAGGTACCATTGATGACCAGCTTCCACCTAAAAAAGGGAGACAGTGAAAGTAACTTAATTTTAGAAAAAGGCATCTTTAGACATCATGTACCCTTTAATTTAAAGACAGGTATATCAACAAAAATGTCAGGTTATGTTTTTACTTGATGTGAAATTTAAATTAAAAAATATCTGCTGATTACCAAACGAAATGTAGAAATGAAGATAGGCATTTATTGAAATTATTTAGCCATCTTTAAAGTACTGAATATGACACAAAAACTGAAAGCAAATTCTCATGTATTCCTTTCTTTATTTCATAAAGAAATTTATATATATTTTTTGCAAATTCTAGAGAAAAGAAACAAAAGTAAACCTTAGACTCCATTCAGTCCATCGATCCTACATTGATCATTTGGAAGCTGGAATTTAATATAAATCAAGCTAATGTTTTGACAAAGAAGTATCAATAATTATAGCATTTATTACAAATACCAACCTTATAAAGGGCATCAACCTTCATTGTGAATCCATCTACACCAGACATTGCTGTCATTGACTGGAGTTCAGGAATATCAGTAGCAAAGTGAGCCTCAAATGGCACATCATGGAAATACTTGTCACAAACCTCAGGCTGTTTGCGATCCTGATGAAAGAGGAGTTAATTACTGTAAAATCTAGCTTAAGAATAAACACAAGAAAGTGTAAATTTAATGTGTGTTTCAAATTCGAAAATATGTACAATGGACTATTTCGTAAAAAAGAAATGTACTGAACCAATGGAAGAAAAACACTGACATGCTAGCTGTAAAATGAAAGAATTGGAAAGGACTTTCTAAAAGATCTGTTACTTTTGAAAACAAACACATAACATTGCTCTTGTATACAGCAGGTTAGACTTCTGCAATGCCCTACTATCAGGGAGCACCCATCACTCTTTCAAAACCTCACAGTGAATTCAGAATGCAGCAGCTAGAATTGTTACTAGGAGCAGAAACTACAACCACATAACCCCTTTACTTAGCTCTCTTCATTGGCTTCCTGTCAGGTATAGGGCTTCTTCTCTATAAGGCTCTCAGAGGTCAGGCACCTGTCTATCTAATGGAACTTACTAATATATACAATCCAAGTTGTCCACTTAGATCACAGAATTCAGGTCTTCTTCATATTACATGCATTAATAAAAAAACAGTTGGTGGTAAAGCCTTTAGTTACAGGGCCCCTACCTTATGGAACAGTCTCACACCCCATGTTCGGGATGCCAAGTCAATCTCAGTATTCAAATCCAGACTGAAAACCTATTACTTCAGCATAGCCTACTAACACCTTACATTATAGCCTGCTGCAACCATGGCTTCTGGTGCTGCTGTACATGCCATTGTGTGTCTCTGTTTTGGCCCACCAGGTAGATACATCTGTTATGACCAAACTATCCTATTCTCCTCCCCACATGTCAGGATGGCGCCTGGGCTGGGCACCATCTGAGTTAGATGCTGCATCACTGCCATGGATCGAATAGGGACATTGTGGATATAGCTATCGTTTAGGATTATTTTGTTGGTCTACAGAGATCGGCATGGAGTACTGACATACAGAAGACATGATGGATGGATCAATACCCTTATTCATTTATTCCTTTTTTTAATTGTATAATGTTCGCATGCCCAAAGGGGTTGGGGAACCAGTTGCCCTTGAACCCCTAGAAGTTTTTGGTTCCTCGCCTCTGTTGTCTTCTGGTCTATTCTGTTCTGTATAACATGTATGGTCACTTGCTTTGTTACTTTTCAACAAAACGAATTCAGATTTTAAAATATCTTAGATTTATGCACAAAGATAACTGTATGTATTTAAGACACATTTATTCCATTTAAACCTAAAGATTACATTACATAAAGATTTCTGTACTTTATTCAACACAAAAACATTCAATGAATATTCTTGCACTGGTATGCAAGGTAAATACGCTATGAATATAGAATTAATAATGAAACATTTCTGAGAATATGACACATACCAGGAGTAAGAACCTGTGCTTCAGGTGCTTGTTAGGCTGAATACAGCCATACTGGGGGCCCTCGTTGTAAATAGTCCCGGTAGGGTCAAAGAAAGGCACATAGCCATCTCTGCCAGTGCAGAGATACACCTTTTCTAGCTTCAGCTTGTATGCCACATTCAGGTTCTGTTCAGGGTTCCAAAGCACTCGGCCATAAAGAGTCTGACCTATGCGAAGGGAAAAAAGACAAAATATAACCCATTATGGCTTGTCCAGATAAAAAGTTTCAATTACGTTAATTTGTTTTTAATTAAAAATAATAAGTAGCAAATCACTACTACATTATTTTTTTTTTAAAAAGCAGGTATTGTTGCCTTAGTTATCAGGTGGGACTCACTGAAGCTGAATGAGAACTGAATGACTGTAGGACTCCTAATCTTTGCTCCTAGTCACTCACGTATCAGTTACAAATCATAAATTAAATTTGATTTAAGGCTAAGGGAAAATACTTTGGGGAACCTTACTGAGATCTACAGAGAATGAAAAAAATACATTGTATAAAAATGTACCCATAGAAAAGGCTCCTTTGTAATCCATTTCAGCCAAGGACATTTCTGCTACAGCTGGATCTATCATAAAGATCTTCTCATTGTTGCAAAGTTGGAACTCTGTATTTAAAGAATAGACAACAGGAACTGGGCGGTTTGTCTGCTGGAACGCAATGGGAACCAGAAACCTAGGACAGAATTTAAAGAAAATATTAACCAAAACAAATATTAATCAAAACTCAGCATTCTATATTGTTTGTTTCAGTCTGGATAAACATTTCTTAATTATCAATTATCACTGTCAAAAGCATTTAAATAATATATTAAATCATGCAAATGCTGATGAACATGAAATAACGTGCCCTGTCAAGCGTTAGTCATTAGAAATAATGCAAGGTATTACTTCTCTGGTGCATGTGCTGTACAAGAGAGGGGCTTATCTCCATGGTCAGTCCAGGGTTGTGTGGGCTGAACAGTGCAAGGCATAAGGAAGACTGTGTACTCTCCAGAGTAGTCTTTCCTGAAAACACAACACAAACAGCAAGGAACAAGGGTGTTTTGAAAATGACAATTCTACTTTGTGCAGAACTCTACATAAATATACGAATTCCAATTCACCTGCTATAGGAGCTGGTTGCTCTCCACAGCTGGTAGGGGGAGTCAAAAGACTGGGCACTCCACAGCAGTTGCAGCTCAAAGTCAATGCCCCCCAGGTGATCTGGTGCCATGAGGCGAGACCTCTGTCCTGGGAGGGTGTGGTGCTCCAATACAAACTGGCCTAAAAAGCAAGAGAAGAAATGCACTGAAATTTAAAATACTTCTCAATTCTAGACTTTTGAATTTATACAGGATAAGTGAAATGATTGCTTAGTCCAGACACTGTCATGACGTCGTCCTTCGGCTAGCGGATGCTAGAAATGGGGAAACTGCCCCATTCTCACAAGGGCTCACCATTCAGTTTCTGCCTACTTGAGCCTCCCTTTTATTTTTCTCTTTTTTTTTCGGGCACCCACTATTCAATTTTTCCTTACCTGAGCCTCCCTTTTATTTCTGGGCGGTCATCATTTGGTTTCTCTATACGCGAGCCTCCCTTTTATTTTTCTTCTTTTTTCAGGGAGCTTGTGATTTGGTTTCTCTGTACCTGAGATTCCCTTTTATTTTTTTTGACCCATAGGGTCTCTGGCAGTTTTTTTCCTGAAGTGTGCCCAGCTTTCTCTTTTTCTGGACAATTGTTATTTCGTTTCTCTGTACCCGAGCCTTCCTTACTTTTTTCATTGAACAATGTCTTACCTCTAAATTTGGCATGTGTCTTAAATTCAATAACCAGACGACCATCCTCCCTGATATAAATTCTGATGATCTGCAGTCTAGCAGACAGAACACTGTCGGTTTGTATACCTACCAGAATAAGGAGAAATAGGATTTAATTATTTAGACTCATAATGTTGTTTACAAAGTATAATTTGAAATGGAAAAGTAAATGCACATCATTGACCTTTTGTGTCATTTTATCATCAAGGAAAATAACACTGTCAAACATTTTTCCTTTTGAGTAAAATTTCCACTTGAATCTGAAAATAACTATAAAAAATAAAAAGAATTTAAAATGTCACCTTTAGTGTCCCACACAAGAAAAATATCATGATTGGAAAATAAAAGAAAAATAATGTAACAATGGGTAAGAGGAGTTACAAAATGGGATACAAAGACACAGAAATCTGGCAGATTAATTTTACAGGAAGAAAGAAATCTAATAAATGTAGAGATTAAGAAGTAAATCACTAAGAGCTCGAGAAGACTGTGAACAGTGTAATCATGGCTGTGAAAATTATAATTGGTGACTGAAGACATTTGTTGGAATAGTGTATAAGAAAGCTTTGTAGATTAGGTCTGAAGAATGAAATAACTGGTGAATCTGGAAGAAAAAGGTTCTAGCTGAAGCAAGCCTCAGAGCAGCACAGACAGAAGATCAGGTCTCGTGTTAACATACAGATTCAGCCATTCAAAATGCGCGGTACAAACCCGTACCACGGGCAACTACGAGTGCTCCACCGTAGTATGTGATTGGCTGCCCAAAATGACCGACAAGGGCACTCGTAGTGAAAAGATGTAATCATTTAATCTCTTTACTGCGCACATTTTAATCAGCTTAGTATTGAATATTTATATGGAATTTTGCCACTAAAGGGAAATTTTAGTAGCTGAGCATAAAAGGAATTGGAGAATAACGCATCTGAAGGTCATAAATGATAATAATTTAGGAGCATAACCATATTATGTAAACTGTATATTGCTGGTATTGGTATTTTAAAGAAAAAATACACACCAGTATTCCATTTCTCCCTAAACATTCACGTATCTAAATAAATTAATAACGTTATAACTATATTCCTATACTGTTGCACAAACGGTAATAGAAGACTTTCCATTGATATAGTATGTGTATTGCTGTTTCAGTAGTTGTCACATGACTTGCCTTAGTGGCGTGATAGCTTAAGCACCTGATTTATAACCCTGAGGTCGGGTGTTCAAACGCAGCTGTTTGCGACTTTTATCAAAATGGGGAAAATGGGGTTAGACCATTAGACGTGCAATACACTTCCGCGTGATATTATAATTGTTGAGTAAGCTGCATGTTTTTTTTATATACATAGCATTCAGAAATACAATCGAGAATAGGTTTGTGGTGTATGCATAGATGAAACTTTTCTAAAATGTATAACAAAATTAAGACAATTAAAATCTGTAATCTTTCAACATGTTATGTCATTAGAAAGTACAATACGTTCCTGCATTGTCTAACGAAGGTATCAAAAAAGAAACCTGTGCTTAATGATAATTAAGAGACTTAGAAGTCAAAGAAAATGATTATGTTTAAGTTATGAACACAGACGGAATTGGTGCTTTACAGCCATTGTGCAATACTGAGCTCCGCGCTTCTTCCTTCCCGTTGAGATATTCCCCTCTAACGCAGCACAGTGGGCACACTGTTTTCAGAGCCTCTGATTGGGGAAAAAAGACCTGCTGATCTGTTCTACATACCAGGAAGACAACAGAATATTATTTTTTCTATTTGAAACGTGTTGTTTTTTATGAAATTCGTGTTTTTTAAACGTTTAAATAAGAAGTAAAAACCTTACAGCACAGACAGAGATTCTAAGCTGATCATGAGGAAGAAAAATCACCCATTTTTCGCGCATAAAAAGTGGTTATTAACTATCGAAACCTGTTTTTATAGCTTTTAAAGTCGTGCAATGTCTAAGCAGGAACACATCATTATATCTCGTTTTTTATTTATTTTTTAAGATTAAAAAAAATTGTTTGCCCAGTCTAATTTTAAAGACCTCTACTTGTGAAAGTTTTTGCAGCCTGTACATAAAACTATATACACAATACTGCTGACAGCAGGAAAATTCCTATACTTTACTCAGCAGCATCTTAAAAACAGCACCCATGGTGTTCAAACCGATTTTTATTACACAGAAGACTGACACAGCTTCGTGTTGTGAATCTGTTTATCTAAGAAAACGTGTCCGTGGGGGAAGGTGGAGTGTCATTGGAAGACTCGCCCTAATCTACTTTGAAAATACATATGAAACCGGTTTAACTCGGCACAGAGAGAAAGATGAAAATCGCGCAGCGCCAGGCAAATGCACAACATTAATGTAAGGCTTTCAGGCTCTGGATTTGTGCCCTACACCCTGTGGTACCGCTGTGTACATACAGTACAAACATGTTGTGATATGTAGAAATATAAAAAAGGTCAGTATAATGTCAATATTTGCTATTTTAGTTTTTCAAAGAAATGTTTATTTGTTAAAAGAAAACTCATAGTGACAGCTGGGTTTGAACACCTGACCTCAGGGTTATAAAATCAGTCACTTAAGCTATCATGCCACCAAGGCAAATCATGGGATAATCACTGAAAAAGCCATACACATACTGTATCAATGGAAAGTCTTATACTACTGTTTGTGTAACAGTATATGAATATAGTTATACCGTTATTAATTTATTTAGATACGCAAATCAATATTATATTCCCTATTAATCCAATTCTAAAAGTATGCTTTTGTTTAATCCGATAAGGGGCGTATTCACAGAAACGGTTACATTGATCACTTTTCACAAAGTATATAAACGTACAGTAATATGGTCAGAAGGAGCACGTAAAAACGTTTCAAAATTACCACATGTTAGACTTTGATGCTTAAAATGTTTAAGGAGAAATGGAATACTGGTGTGTATTTTTTTAAAACTACAAAGACAAGCCATATACAGTACAGTTTACATACAGTAATATGTTTATGTTCCTAAATAATATATTTTATGAGCATGTGAAAGGCATGGTGAAATGGAGATTCTCAAGACTTACTTTGTATGATTGGAAACGAATGCGTGATCGGATCAACGAAATGCTGTGGTGTTACTTTTTGTCAATGAAAAAATAAAGTATTTTCGTTTAGAAAGACGGTTACAAAGAATGTGGACCAGGGTAAAACTTTGAGTTTACGCTTGTCCAAGGTCATTCATTATTAATACTATTAGTAATATCTTCGGTAAAGACTTTGATGCATAAATATTTCTGCATAATTAAAATATTTATGATAAAGGTAGGTTGTGTACTTTTGCCAAACTGAGCAATCTTGCTTTCATAAAATATACCAACTTTTTAATTTATGATGATTAACATCCTGTTATACACAGTTTAAATTTTAAAGTCTAAAGAGTATATAACTTAAATTCTTAATTGAATAAAGATTGTCCCTCAGCAGATCGGGATTCGAAACCAGCATTTTCTGGTGACAGCTCAAATGCTGTACAGGAGAGGTTTTACAAGGTGATTCCGGATACTATTAACATAATGTAATTTGCATATGGTGATTTGGTATGACGTAGCATGATGCGATATACCACATTGGATGCAACACGCCCACCGCGTTATACCGCAGCATACCCCGCTTGTTTTGAATAGCTGCATCCATACAAAATGTTAGGCAAAGCAGTGAAAATTGCTGAGCTGAAGATGTGAGAGTAGTGGGTGTGAGATTCTGGTAATAGTATAAGTAGGAAAGAAAAGGTCTGAGAGATGAGAGTTGAGATGAGAGAGATGAGTACCTTGATAAAGTTACTAAGCATAATGTTAGTGTCAATCTCAGAGGCAATTTGAAGGGAATGAACAACAATTCCGGCTGCCTATTTTAGAAGTGTAAATACAGGGCTGTCCAGGAAGTCTCGTGAGTGAGAGCAGTGTGATTTTGTGTTTGTATCAGAGAGTGAGGTATGGAGGAGGGACCATCTCCCTGACAATACACATGATATCAGGGTAAAGGGTCAGTCTAACCAGTGATATCTTGTAATGGGCATGTAGTGGTGACAAAGTGAGGATGCCACTGATAGATGCTGTATGTTGAAGTAAAGGCAGTAGAGAGAAAAGGGGGAAGCAGCTGCATCAGCAGCTACGAGTTTCACAGCCTGGGATGCGAGAGTGAGGTGTCATGAGAGATTTTGTGAGTTTTAAAATGTGTGTTGAGTCTCAGCATGAGAGTGAGGTGCTGGAAACTTGGTTTAACGAGTTGCTGGAGACTTTGTCTTGGAAATCTGAGACCCAGCCTGGTGGCGTCAGAAAGTGATGTCAGTGGCTGGAGGGTGACCTGGAAGTCTGAGGGCTGACTGGTTACGAGAAGATGAAGCTGAAGGCTCTGGACTTGAGTGAAAAAGCAGAGTAGCTTCCCCATACAGTGAGGGATCAGGGTGGCTCCCAGTGAGAGAGTGTTATCAAGGTGCAGTCTTTAAGAGTAGTTTCCTTGGTTGTTGTTATGTCAGCCCACAGGTAAGGTAAAAAAAGTAGAGCTGGCCCAGCAAAATAGGACCAACAAATAGAGGGATGTCTGCTGCTACTCCCTGAAAGGGACTAACCAGAGGGCAAGAGTTGGAGGTGATGTTTGTTGAGGAGAGTGCATGAATGTGCATGAGAACGCATGAGAGTAGAAGATGAGCAACCACTACTCCTGTTGTATATTTATGTTGGGCAGGAAAACATAATTGTTTCTTATTTTTGATTTTGAAGGAGAAGTTAAAATATGCTCAGTGCTGTTTACTGTGTATGGTATTTGTGAAGCAACACTAAACATAGCAAAGGTTTGTTTAACAAGTATTTCATTTGCATGTTAATTGTTTTTTGTTTAAGGGCATCTTTAATTGCCTTACTCTTTCCAGGCTTCCTAGAGATTGGTGGTCGTGTGGTCTTTTACATGCAATGCCTTTCAGTGTAACTTATCTGATGTAACACGGGAGTGTCTTGCGTTTTGATGGTTGCACTGTCTCCTCACAGTGGGGGATACTGGAGGAAGGGTCTAAAAGGCACTGCATGTTAAAGAACAAGACCACTGCAATGCCATTTTCATGCAATGGCATTCATCTTCAGAATTAAACGAAAAACAAATACCGATAACTTGAAAAAGAAAAATGATAATGTCAGTGAACTTTTTTGCACATTCATTACATGTCGTTGCAGTAGTATGTCACTCTGATTGGATCACTGAACATGCAGAACACTGGGAAAGGTAGGCTCTTATGTATCCAGTGCCATGAACTACTGTACATAAACTACAAGCATTGCTTAGTGATGGATATATTTAATAGTAAGTTTCCATTTAATTTCCATTACACTAACCATTTTCATTTCATTAGCAGGGAATATTTCCAAAGACAAACAGATAATGGGTCATTAAAATAACCAGTTTCTAGGTCAATATATAGTAATAAACATTCTCATTCAACTTAACAACCAAACAGCTTTTTGCTTCTGCTGGCAATGTTTTGAGAATTTGTGAAAAGAAAAATATACCCATTTTTTAAAAAAGCATTTTGCTTCATGATTGCAAATTTTCAAATGTATCAAATAAGCACTTGGTGCATCTTAAAAGGAAAGACAAATTGTGGTATGTGCTACTACCATCAATGAAAACAGACTTCACTGTCAACTATGCTTCAAATAAACTGTACAGCACATAATTTAGGAAAGTGTTTGGGTCACTAAAAACCCAATGGACATGATTTAGTATACAGCACTTCATAAGTCCATTGACAAATTTTAAGTTGGTTTTTATCTAAAGATGAACTTGCCCATTGTGGTACAACCTTTTCTCACAAAAGTCACATTTAGTAATAATAATTTACAAACAGTAATAATGTATTTGTTATAGATTTAAATTAATATAATTCACTTTTAAAGGTGCTAAAACCTTTTAAGGAAAAAAAAATATTTTTTATATTTAAGGGGATATGTATTTAAGAAGTTATCAATCTGAGAAGGAACAGATAATTCCATAATAATTCCATGTGGTTATGGAGAAAGCCAAGTAGAATGCTACTTACATAACATGTTTGTAATCATATGTTGTTAATTGTTTTTAATTTGAAAACTTTAAATTTAATTTTACTACCTGATATGTAAATATTTACATTTATATTCATAATTATAGTTATATTGTAGAGTTCAGAAACATTTAATACTTATTTTGGTTCTTTTTATTTTCAGCTACCAAAATTTCTCTTCAGTTACACATTTTCATATTAAGTGGATTTCCAGTAGATGAATGTTACAGTACTGTACTTCGAAGTACCATACATAGTGGTCTAATGTGAAAGCTTTTAATCCAATGGAACTAGGCTTCATTCATGGCATAGCTAGGCTATGCATTTTATATGTCTTAATAAGATATAAATAAATGTTTTAAGAATTTTTTATTAGAGGAAAAAAAGATTAAATGAACATGCCACTTCAGTAACATCTAACACAACAGAAGTGCCACCTATCAATCTGTTTTGAGCAGTAAAGTGCTGATTGTGGAATGCCAGAGAGAACTGAAATATACTGCAATTTGCTTTCCATTGGCACAAATTGTGATGCACATTCTAGCAGCACACATATGGAGATAACTGCTGTAAAGAAGGTTCCATCAAAATGTAAAATTCCAATCTATTTGTTATGGGCAAAGATATTAAAAAGCGAAATTAATCAATAATTATTATTGTAGCTCCATTTCATTTGGGGATTATAAAAGAAGTGTAAAATTCTTTAGAGAAAAAGAGACTTTGAATGTTGTCCAGCAAATACTACTCATACGGCTCTTACCTGTTCTCCAAAGGACTGTATCATAAAAAAATGAAAACTCCATTTCTGTGTGATGCTCCAAAGATGCCCATCCTCTAGGTGCTGTCACATATATATATGACACATACAGAGGGACTTGGACTGTGAGGAAGGACTGTGCTGAGTCCCTCACCTGGCATGTGATACAGAAACATATACATATGTTAGAAAGCAGAAAGGCAACAGAAACGAAACTCATTCTGAAACTAGGATCACACCTTCCCCCTTCTCTCAATGACAGATTTATTTACGTGTAATCTTCTCTATTCTCGTGCAGGTTTCGGCTTCACACGTTTGTTCTCCCCTCTCCCAGCTTTTGTTCTCTTGTGCTATTTTATCTTTGTTGTCTGCCCTGTCTTTCTCACACCTGAAGAAGGCTCCACAGCGGAAACGTTGTGTTTTCTCTCTTCTCTTTTCAGCATGGAATAAACCTATTACTTGTTCCTAGACATAAGTCATTTCGTTATTTGTTTTCACATTCAAATTGATATGAAAAAAACACATACAGACAAAACCGATTCCTTTATTTAAGAAATTTCTTCAAAAACATACTCTAAACACTCGTTTTACTAATTGACTGAAGATGGTTGTTGGCATTTTACAGTAAAATCTACATTAATAAAAGGAATCAGTATGGATGTTTTCACCCAATTTGTCACTTATTTATAATAAATTAAGAAATGTGGATTAAAGGAATATTTTGTAGTGTTGTCCCAAGAAGAAAGTTACAAGGTGTGTACCACTAATTATTTAATATATTATTTGAAAATTCTGCTTTAATATAGTAATATTATTAGTAATATTAAAACATATAGGCTAAACATTTGTTTGGAAAATGTTCTTTCTGTGAAAAGATTCAAAAGCTCAATCAAGCAGGATCTCACTGAGTCTGCACTGCAACTCATTCAACTAGAAATGCACTGTTTGTGTCAAAATTAAAACCTAGTAAAACCTAGTGTGTTAGTAAATTGCAAACAAACAATAGCCCTATACTGAGCATCAAAAGAACCTCATTACTTACAAAAGCAATGTTATTATTTGGAAAATTAACATATTTTTAGTGAAAAGATAAACATGATTGCATCTGTTATGCTAATAAACACTTGTAATCAGCAGTGTGTTGACTGTGAACTTCACAGGCCAGTAGTTTGTACAACTAATTGTTGTAAACACTTCAAGCTATGCAACACTTGCTTTGCATGAGGTTGCAAAATGAGTATTGTGGGATTCTGCACCATTACTTTCATAGTTTCTGCAAACACATACCTGTTCACTGATCTCTGTACTGTATATACCACACAATGTCCCAAGATCATCTCACAACCGTTTCCTGGGCCTCATGTCTGGTAACAGCCACATTCTCTTCTCATAAGATAAACTCAGCACAATGCAGACACATTTCCATTAATCGCTACAAGTGGAATTCAGTAATGACTAGACACTCTTGACCTGACCATAAAACTTGGAACTCCTCCCTGTCAGCTGTGGTGCAATGTCATGAATCATGGTCTACCAGACTGTATTTTGCTTCAATTTCCTGTCAGGGTAGAAACTGAATACAATACAACAAGCCAGGACCAACATAACTATGGCACAGAAGCATTGTTCATAAATGGGGCATATACAGATCCATTCGGAATGAGTGGGGGCTAATGCAGTACTTTGCAGTTCAGGTGCTGTGCTATCGCAGGTTTTTAAAAATACTCAGTTGTGGGACTGCTCTACTTTGTAAAACCACCAGGTGGAGCAGTGAAGGAGCAGTGAAGGAGTGAACGTGGCGTGTGTAGCATTTGGTCTGTTGCCAGAAAACGCCTGGTTTTGAATCCCGGTCAATGCTGGGGAACAGTCTTTTTGCAATTATAGAATTTAAGGTGTATACTGTTTAGACTTTTATTAATGTTAAACTGTGTATTAGAGCATGTTAAATATGAAACTAATTAAAAAGTAGGTATATTTTATAAAGGTAAGATTACTCAGTTGGATATATAAAAACAGTTCACGATTATACTGTAGCTGTGAATCCACATCCACATAGAGAAAATCCAAAGGCAAATTTTGGTAGCAGAAAATAAAAACAGAAGTATATTTAATGTACACACAGTAGATGGTAGTGGTAGCTAAATATAAAAATGTACATGTATTCCAATTTTTATGCCTCAAAGTCTTTAGTGACTTACAGTGGTTTATGGAAAAGGTTTAATGTGGTTGTTCTAACATTATAAAGTTGATATACTGTACTTCATAAAAAGTTATAATGATTTTCTAAGAATAAGTAGTAAGAACACCACTTGCTGTCATTGCAGAAAAACATTGTACTGATTTAATACTACTTGATAGTAATATTAATATGGAATTGTGTAACTAAGCAACTGAAAATGAGTGGAAGTTTTCGAAACATTTTGACATTAGTTTTTATTCTCCTTGCAGTGGTAATGAATAATGTAGCATGCTCTGCCCAGGTGGTTCAAAGCCAGATCAGACCATTACTTCTGGTTGGTTTCTTACATAGCCGTATATATAAAAATAGTTCACTATTATAGCTTGTTGTGAACGCAATGTGCCTCTTTTTTGTTTACATACAAATTGAGATCTATATTTTGTCTTAATCCAAATTTCAGCAACCAGGAATCAGCCAATAATTTAACTTTAAATTTGAAACTTTAAGTTGTATATTGTACTGTACAATACTGCACTGTCCAAAAACGTATTGGGAGGTTGTTTCTGGCAAAATTGGCTCCAGTGTGAGTGTATGCAGGGATGAATTGCATTAATATTTATATGTGATTTTTTCATGATTAAGGAGTTCTTCATGGAATTCTTTAAGTTTAAAAAAGAAGGGGGTATTCTTACAATTGCCAGTAACCGGAGGACAACTTATCAATATGTAGAAACTGTGAGAGTGAAGACAAATGTGTTACACCTTTTAAGTGAGTCAGTGACTCACTCTGTTGTTAACTGATTTAAAATTTTAATTTAAATGTATTGGAAGGCATGCTGTTTTATTAACAGACACTCCAACTCACACCTGTGTCGTACAGCGATATATACGTGGGTAATGTCACCCCCATTAAACAATGTGCTTATCACGTAAATCCTGCTAAACTAGAAGAATTGCAGAAGTAGATAAACTGTACATTATTTACTGGAGCGCATCTGAGTTCAAAGAAGGAAGTCTGTGAAGCCCCCGTTTATTGGTACCAAACATTGATGATACATCACGGTTCTGTTACAGATTAACTGTATAAAAACTCCACCAGACAATGGATATACTGTTTAACCATAAACAAGGATCGATCTGCTGTTCCCTTTTGTAATAGGTTTACTCCCTGGAAATCAGAATTTTCACAAATTGCGATCTCTAAAACGCCTGTGAAACGCTCTGTGAAATTCTTCGCAGTTATTGACACCTAAAACATAAGAAAGCAAAGGTTATGAAAACAAATGACTCCGAAAAAGATACAAGAAGTTTGAAATTATTATTAATAATAAATTAATACTGTTAATAATGATCAGATACATTATTATAGTTTCAGTGGTCTTTTTAATACCACTTTGTTATTCTCGATTATAATTATAATATATACAATTTAATTTTAAGGGTTGTTGTAAAGGCTTGTGTTAAATTGCCCAACTGGGATGAATAAAGTATTTTGAATTGAATTAAACTAAACCGGTTAAAGTGGTTTTTACTCCCACTGTTAACAGTATTCACATTTGTTCATTCACATTTATATTTCATTATTAATATCATTGGACATTGAATACATTGTGATATGTAAAAAACTATAAATAATAATTTAATGTACATAATTTGTTAAAATATTTTATTTTTTAAAAAGGAGTCTTTGTTCGAAGAAAATTGGGAACTGAACTAGGATCTCAATGAGTCAAAGAAAAAATAAAACGTTTCCAAAGAAAGTGGACTATGGTAATACTACCAGCTATATAAATATATTAAATTTAGATCCTTAAATTAATATAGTTATTAATTTCTTTAGTTACGCGATTCCATATTATATTCCTTATTAAGCAAATTATAAAAAGTACACATTTTTAACTGCAATAATGACCGCAAGTATTCCTAGAAAAGGTTAAAACATAGCTTTTTACTACGTATATAAACCTAATATAGTCAGAACGAGTACATCAAAACTTTTTCAAAATAACCACAGTAAGTGACTGAGTTAAAGACTTTGTTGCATAAAATGTTTATGATGAAAATTGAATACTGTTGTGTACTTTTTATTTAAGCTGCCACTACCAGCGATATACAATATGTATAATATATTTATATTCTTAAAATAATATAGTTTATGATGATATGATTTTCAGAGACGTTATGCTCCTGCTATTTTTATGCTCAGCACCCACACTTTCCCTTTAGTTGTAAAATTCTGTATTAACATTCCATATTAAGTGGATTTCTACATGCACATTAGAGAGATTAAATGAAGCAATAGTTTCACTACCAACTAACGCACCACAAGTCATCTTTGGCCAGTGAATCATTTGCTGCGGTAACCTACAGCCCAAATCCCATGATACAGGGTTTTACCGCATATTGTGAATGGCTACATCTGTAGGATCTTTGTGCTTTCATTTCTAAGTTTTCACCAGGCTGAACATTCAAGAGCATAAATCACCTTATCACTTGCATCCAACCCACTAATGATATAGCTTTGTCAAAACCATTCAAGTGCATCACTGTAAGTCTTGAATACTCAAGTATTAAAAATAATGCCAAAAACATTTAATCAATATACAAACTATTTATTCTCTATAAAAACATACAAGCATATTGTGAAAAGTGTCTGTTGATGCTTAGTATATATTTGAATGCAGCCTGCTAAAAATGGAGATCAACAGCATGTGAATTGTTTCATTCTTTGCTTTGATTTTTTAATGCTTTGATATTGAGCCTGGTGTTTAAAATATAATACTATTACATTTATACAACTTAAAAAGATACTATGCAAAACCAAACAATGCCATATATACCTGAAAGTCAGCAGTAACAGACCCTCCACAGACATCAATGAGCTCTGTCATGTCATAGTAGGCATCGAAGGTCCAGATGCAACTCTTAAGATTAAGGTGTTTATACAGCTGGATGGTCTTCGGTTCCCGCACAGTGGGATCAAACTGGTAGGGTCTGTCATAACCAGGCCCAAGGGAAATGCTATCATAGGAAAGGTTATCAAGAAACCCTGTATCTGAAACAACACCACAAATAGTTAAAAATGTTCATATATCTGATAATAAATAGAAAGAAAGAGTATAACAATTTGAAACTGGGTATCTGGTATTAGTCTAGTTATAGTCTTCTACAACATGAAAATCTAACAGGAAAAAGAAATACCAGATTTTCCTAGAGAAATCAGGGAAAACCCAGATTACTGACCAATGAATTATAGCATAATAATGATCCAAATGAGAGGCAATGATAGACCTGGATGTAACAGAAAAGTCACACACTGGGTTAACTAACTGTGCTAGTTGCAAAGTCATATGGATCTTAACGCTTTTCTACCAGCTGCAGGTAAATAAGGTTTAAGTTTGATGCCTACCATATGCTTAAGTTGGACATACTAACAGAAAGACTGACTAAGTCTAAGTACATCTGCCTTAGACTTAACCAAGGTTTATTGGCAGGTACCATTAGGAAAGAGTAATATTTCTAAGTTTGATTGTCTCCTAATTTCAGCAAAATCTGTGTAACATATCAGCCATGGGTCACCAAACCAATGCCATCTTTACACCATCAGTGATTTACTACTTTTCTGCTACCTAATTTATGTTTGTGGTGCTTTTGTTGACCTGTAGCTGAATTTCATTCAACAGTACTCTTGATACCTAGCTCTGGGGAGACTATAGTTTGGTTGTTGAGCCTTCCTGTAGAGCATGTACACTCCAGCCTTCTGTGACACCTACAGTTCCTCTAGGTAACAAAGTCATGTTACTTATGTAATGATACTCGTTCTGAATCTGTTTTACCTTTGTCTCTGGAGTGTTCCTCTGAATCACACTTTAGAGTATTATAGTATTTCTACACTTGATTCACTAGCATAATCTTCATTTTAGGGGCACTACCATAATCTCTCAATTTACTAGCATGATTTACTTTCTCTAGTTGGTACTGTGATTTACTTTCTCGAGTGACAACTCCATCAAAACTTTCTTCTCTCTCAATAAATAATTTAAGTTATTTGCTGAGACTAGGATTTTGAGTGCTGAAGGTAATATACCATAGAATGTCCCTTTTCTAACAGATCTCACTTAACCTGAGCTTTCAGTTGTTTTGGATTTAGTGAGGGAATTGGACTTATTCTGCCTCAAAACTGCTAGACTCATTAAATGGGCGTTTAGTTAAATCTCCAGCAATTGTCTTTTTTTTCTTTTAGTGCATATATTTCTAATTAAAAGTACTGAATAAGCACAGAGAATATCAGTTTACATCTGACAAATGATCTCACAAGTCCCAATTAGTATTTGTCCTGGACTCTCTTGCACTAAATTAATGTTACGTCATCCAACTGTATAACAATCAGGGTTAGTTGTACTGTTGTAATATATACTTTAGATTTTGAACCAAAGATTGTCAACCCAGTCATTAAACTTTGAAAAATGTAAGAATGTAGTATTAGTTATTAAGGCCATAAAACAAAAAATAAACGTTTTATTATTGTGTATTGTTCAAAATGTATATTTAAAATCGTGACTTATCTATATCTCTGTATAAATAGTGTAATTTAAGTTTTTTTCATTATTTTAGATTAATTTATTCAGATTCTTGTCCCAAAATACAGTGCATTTCATTTCGGAGAACATCCCTTGATAATGTAAGCCTCTTGTAATTGTGTCTTGCTCACCGGAGATACCCTGAAGGTCTTTGAGAGTAACCAAGTTGGAACAGATGTGCTGGTGTCTGTAAATGGACTCTGATAGCAGGAAATGCAGGTTATGCAGTGGCATGGTGGAGACCAGAGGAAGCATGCCATCTTGGTGAGGGATCTGCACAGAGATGTGAATCCTGCAATTCAGATATCAATATAAATATAATCACTGATGTACTGAATGTTTTGTTTATAATTATTTGTTATGTTCCTATATGTTTTTACAAATATGGCAACGTAACACTGTGAACACTTAGTTATTATTAAGAAATAACACACAAAAATACTGTTTTGAATGGAGCAGCACCACTGAAGAAAGAATTATATTAATGGAAATATGTTTATGCTTCAACAGCCACATTATGGTGCTTTTGTTATGGTGGCTTTATGGTGAAACCTTTTACAGTGCCTTCCAGATTTATTCATACCCTAATGAAATAGGAACATATTACAAAACAGATTGGTTTACGGATTGGATGTATCTCACTTTAAAATTCAAATAATGTTAAACTGTAATCTGGACATAACTTTGAACAGGAAAAAAAGTTATTTTTCTTCTGAATTTACAGAATTCAAGAAAAGAAGAAACTCCCATTTATTCACACATTTAAGTATTCTTTTAAATTAAATTCAGCAAAAGAAATATACAATAACATTCTGCTCTTGTGCAGTTGATGCATCTGGAAAGCCTCTGGAAATATAAAGATGCAGCCATTCAAAGTGCGCGGCAAAGACACGTATCGCGGGTAATTGGGGTGCAGCTAGAGAAGGTCCTGTCACCCACAGAATGTAGATGTTCTTGAGGACAGCTAGAAGACCAGAGTCACACAGACAAAGGTGGGGAGTAGACAGAGAATAAGCCATATACAGTAGGTACTGAATGATGATGATGATTTTGAAGTTGACTCAAAACCTGATAGGAAGCCAGTGCAAGGACTTGAAGACAGGTGTAATGCATCTCTCTTAGGATTCTCGCTGTCATATTCTGAACATATTGAAGATTGCTCAGTGTGGATTTAATTTCCCCAGTGAACAGGATGTGCATTTATTAATTCTAGAAAAAAAAGCCTTTCTTGATTTCTCTAGTTCCTAGTTTCTCTAGTTCCCTTTAAAATAAACTATTATTCCAAAATGCAGAGTACTACATGGCCAGTATTTTCATATGGTATTTGTGATTTTAAGAAATTAACACAAGCAGCTTTTGGGGATTTAAGTGTTGGCTGAGCTATTGCTGGATAAAAGACTAGAGATTTTGGTAAGAAAAAGATAATTTTGGGAAAGTTGAGGAATACACTGATAACAAGAACACTTCCTAATGGGGTTAGGCATACTTTTGATGAAGATGATGAAGTTAACAGTCTGTATGTTTACATAGATACTGAAATGAGGATTGTATTTTAGATTTTGTAGCATTGAACTGTATGTTGAATGCACATGAATTGAAGGAATGGGCAAACATAGCTGATTGTGATCCACAGAGCCAGAATATTAAGATGTTTATAATTAGAGGCAATTTGTTTAAATAACTAGGTATGGATATTGATGTGCAAGAGAGGTGGAAAGGCTGTTTCCTTAAGCCAGCACTATAAAATATTTTATTTTCAGTGAAATGCTGCCATTCCATAGTTGGTTTCTAACACTGTTTATAGTTTCATCCACACAGTGCCTTTACTTCCATCTGTTTTCAAATCTCTTTATCCAGTACAGGGGATTTGAAGCCTATCCCAGTAAGCAACGGACACAAGGCAGAATACACCCTGGACATAGCGCCAGTCCATCACAGGACAGACAGACAAAAACACAGACACACCAGGGCCAGTTTTCCCATAAACCAATTAACTTACCAGTATGTTTTGGAGTGCGAGAGGGAGTCCTATCACACATATGGAGTAAAACCATGTAACCCAGAGAGAACATGCAAACCCCACACACACAGGACGGCAGGAATTGAACGTAGGACCCCAGTGCTGCAACATAGCAATGTTAACCACTTCGCCACCATTATAAATAGATAAATATCTTAGTTATCTTTCTAGTTCACAGGTTTGCATGCATAATTTAATTTTGAAAGCCACTGAGACATCAGGTACTGCTGTTGTATTTATGAAAAAGAAACAAAACAAAAAGCATACTAACAACTGTGCCTTGGTTAATACATTTTATTATTTATAAAAAGTTAACATTGTTAGCAAAATATTATTTATATTTTACCCTATTTTTCTTTAGTTTTGTATTAAACTTCTTATATGATAGTCAGATTGAATGTATATTTGAATAATGAAAATATATTTTTACAAGATGCTGGGGAAAGTGCAACAACTTACTACAGTGCTAAATTTCATATTATTGATTACTAATAGTTTATGCTAACACCTAACTTTCTTAATTAGATGTATTTAAACAGTGAACTAAATGTAACAAAACTTTCAGAAATACAATCGAGAATAGTTTTGTGGTGTTTGTATAGATGAAACATTTCTAAAATGTATAACGTAACAAAATTGAAGACGATTAAAATCTGTAATCTTTCCACTTGAAATGTCATTAGAAAGTACAACAAGTTTCTGATTTGTCTAAGGATGGTATCAAAAAGTAGTCTAAGTGGTGAGAAAGCTGTGCTTAATGATAATTAACGGACTTAAAAGTAAAAAGTGATGCTTCATATTGCTTGATTAATTTTAAAAACTAAGTTATAAATGCAGACGCGATTGGTGCCATTAAGTGCTCCAGGCAGCGGAATGTTCATTTTGTACTGCTGAGCTCCGCGCCTCCTCCCTCTCTCTGTGCCGCCGGGTCTAAATATCTAAACATATTTATCGATATAGCAGGTAGTATCACTGTATTCCACCTTCTTTGTAAACACAAAAAAACAGATTCACAATGCAACGCTGTGTCACTGTGTAAAAAAAACTATTTGAATACACTATATTGTAATGAGCTGCTGTGCTAAGAATAGGAGTTCCTTCTGTCAGAGGGGGTGGAAAGTGCCCACGGTCATTTAATTAGTATTACAATTCTCACTGATTCCCTTGCGAATATATGGACATAAGAATATTCGTGCATGGTCAAAAAATGGCATTGTAGCGGCGAGGCTTATTGATAAGAAAGAATTAAGTGTTCTGAGCCTTCCCAAATGAGGCCCCATTTCTCTGTTCATCTCTGTGGTGCAGCCAGAGAGAAACTATTCATGCAGGCTGATTTAAGGTTTCCTTTGATAAAGACTCCTAGGGCAGCTCCCAAAGGGGGATGCACTTAGCTAAGCCTGGCTATCATGATCAATGGTCATCCATTGGCGCCTATCTGTCTAGGGAGTGCCAGTTGGACATCTGGACTGCATTCCTAAGTGTCAGGAGTAAGTGACTCATATCTCACCTTGATCAACCAATCAGGGACTGGTAGGGCTGAGTAACCCACGTGGGACTCTGATGCCCATGGAACTGAAAAGCCAATCAACGAGCTGAAGTTCCTCCAGGTAAAAACAGGCAACACAGAGAGCCTGAGAGATTCAGTAAGATTCTAGGTAGGATTCTGTGGACTATTCTAAAGGGAATTCAAAGGAGAATTCCAGGGCAGGACGGCCCAGGAGCAGAAGGCTCCCAAGGGCAGGACATTCTCACAGAGCGCCTCCTGACCATCCTGAGACTCAGCCCGGACAACCACGGAACGGCCAGTGAACTTTCCTTTGTTCTAAGAGTCTAGAGCGGAGGTTGCCAGAGAGTAACCAGAGGATCCACCCGAGGTTAGCACCAGCAACAAGCCTCGTGAACAGGTCAGAACTGTGGACAGCTGAATCACTATTCAGAACTAGCTCTTCATCAGGAACGAACCGGTCCTCTTCCTGCCTTGCTGGGACCCACAGTCATCTTTTCTCCTGTGCACAAACTTTGCTAGTTAAAGCCAACACTAACTAGCCGGTCAGTGAGCATCAACAGCGCACCGTCGCAAGCTGCACAGCAAAGCCTGGCACGGAGCCAGAGAGCCCACAGGAGATCTGAATCCCCAAAGATTGGATGAGTATTCAACTTCAATGCATTACTGCTCGAGAATTCAATTGTTATCCCAACCAGTTGATATCAATTTAATTCCTAAGAGTTATGTACTTGTTTTGAGTATCTATTGTAGAAGTTATAACCAAGTTCATTTACGAAACGGTCTTAATGAATGATATACTGAACATATGTCCTCTTGATATGTGTAACTCTTTGAAACTGACTGAATATATACCTTTTGTATTCTGATAACCCTCTCGATAAGATCTGTTAGGTTTATATGCATATTTTATGTATCAATAAATGTATCCTCGTGTATTAATACCTGTATGTGTGCGTCGTTTGAGTTATGTCGCATGGTTGGATTCTAAAGCCATCAAAAGAATCAACTTTGTGATTTACTGCTACAATTAATAATTGTTCCAGTAAATGCCCAAACCCTACAGAACTGGTGCCTTCAGAGAGCCACTACATTTACATTTTGGCTATAGCAACATTACATATTTGGCGTCCCTGGGCCGGCTTTGATTACAGCATTAAGCACTAAAAATTAATATGGTTAATAATAGTAAACTGTAACATGTTGTAACAAGATCGGCTAAACTGGGAAGCCTGTTCCCACACACCCTGCCCCCACTGCCATTCGGATATACACAAAGCACTCCCCAGACTGTCTGACAGTTTCACTGTTACCTGGATACCTCTTTGTTTAGAACTCACTCTCCCCCCTGCCTGTCTCACTTCTTTTAATCCTTCTGTGCCTGGATTGCAGCGGGTACGATGTTTTTCCAAGAAAAAAAGAGAAATTAAAAAAAGATAAATTTCACCACAGCCTCTTTTCTTCTTGTGTCTAATTTTTAGTTTAGAAGGATTCAAGCATAATTGAACCCATTCAGAGCCTACATTACATTTTAGTGTTTCATTCTGAGCAGAAACCCTCACACCTGAAGAAGGCTTGCATTTTCTCTCTTCTCTTTTAAGCATGTGTACAATGCTGTAATACAATTTAAAATAAAAGTTTAAACAGTATCAACTAAACTCTATTAATATAAGTATCGAGTGGTATTAGATAAATACAGCTTTTAAGTATAGATTACACTTTTCTAAAATGTATTTAAAAAATAAAAACGATTACAATCTAAACTTTCCACATTTGATCCCAAAATCCCAAGAAAAATAAATCTAAATGGGGAGAAAGCTATGCTGAAAGTTTATTAAGATTCTTAGAAGACAAAGATAACAATTTATGTTTTATTTGTTGCATATGTTGCATTTGTCTGATTGTGAATAAAAAAATACATATAATTAAACACGCGTTTGCGATTTAAATCAAAATGCGATTTAATTCGATATAAATGTTTATATTGTAACGCATACTGTACAGCCTCGATTTCTCTATAAAAATTTAAAAGATCGTTTGCGCAGCCTAAGGGTCTGCTCTCAGTGACAGCTGACAATCTTCCATACACTCAAGTGAAAAATTAATAATGGCAATGTAAATGTCGTATTTACGATTTGTTGATAATAGAAATGTTAAGTTCTCTAAAGCTTTGTGATAGTTTACCCAGGCTCTTAAAATCAGCTACACTGGGAAGATGCGACACCGAAGATATGATTAATAACCTTTTAAATCTGAAGGTTAGATTTAAGCCCCCCTCCCACACACACACACTCGATAGAAGCAGGAAGCAGAAGCAGGGACAGTTGTCAGTAGGAAAGAAGGTGACTATTCATTGTTATTAAAAATAACTTAAATTTGATCATGTTGTGATATTTAGAAATATAAAAAGTCAACTAATTGTCCATAATATTGCTATTCTATTTTTTCAAAGAAATGTTTGTTAAAAGAAAAGTTGTGGTGCCAGCTGGATTTGAACACACAACCTGTGGGTTACTAGTAAACCCACATGTAAACCAGCAGGCTACTGGGGAAATCACATGAGGAGAGGTGAAACAGCCCTACACAGCCCTATTGCAGTACACGAATATAATTATATTGTTGTTAATTTCTTTAGATATAAATGTTTAGGGAGAAATGGAATACTGGTGTGTATTTTTTCTTTAAAGTACCGAGACCAGCAAGAAAACTGTATGTTTATGTTCCAAAATTAATATCGTTTATGGCCTTCACACGCGTTACAGTATGCTCCTATTCTTTTTATGCTCAGCCACTAAGATTTCCATTCAGTGGTAAAATTCCATATAAATATTCAATACTTAAACAGGCACAGTAAAGACATTAAATATACATAAACATACTGTATACAGTACAGTTTGCATACAATAATATGTTTATATTCCTAAATCAATCTCTTTTATGAGCATGTAAAAGGCATGGTGAATCGGAAATTCTCAAAAATTACTGTAGTTTGATTGGATTTTGATGATTGGAAACAAATGCGTGATTGTGAAATGCTGTGGTGTTACTTTTACAAAGACGGTCAATGAAAAAAAGAATGTGGACCAGGGCAATACTTTGACTTTACAGCTTGTCCAAGGTCATTCATTATTAATACTATTAGTAATATCTTCAGTAAAGACTTTGATGGTGACAGCTCAAACATGAGAGGTTGAGCTTTATTAGCTCCACTTTGCGGAAATTCCGGATACTATTATTTTACTTGCGGTACCACGTGGTATCATGCAGCACTATGCGAGAATCTACGGTATTAATACAGTAACTTGCAGTACACTGCGTCAAGCGCACCGCAAAATAATGCGGTATGGCCCGTTTGTTTTGAATGGCTGCATCTGTATAGGGGCCTCTGAAGGTTTCCTGTTTCCTTTGGGTATAAAGGTAGATAATGAAAAGAAAACATTCAGAAGTAGCATAATTATGGATTGGATCAGATCAGATCAGATTAGAAACTTATTTAAAGACTGTAGGAAAATGGTAATTGACCTCCAGAAGTTGGAGGACGGCTATAAAAGAATCCACAAAGATTAATCTAGCACTTTTCTACCACCAACACTCTTACAATCTTACAATCTAGCACTTTCCTATAACATCTACCACTGTCACGGGGCTGTATGCCATTAGATCCTGAAGACCTTGACACGATAGGGGAACCCATGAACTCTAATATGTGAAAGGTCTTTTTGGCTAGATACCTGTTTATTTCTGATAAATAGCTCAAGCTTAGCCAAAAATGGTAATTCCAACATGACAACAATCCAAACCATACATCTAAATAGATAAAGGAATGATCAAGCGCACCCAAAATAAATATTATTGAATCAGAGGTAGTATGAGCCAGCAGCCATATCACCCTGCAGTTCTCAACTGGCTACCCACTGAAGCTAAGCAGGTCTGAGCTGGTCAGTACCTGCATGGGAGACCTCCTGAGAAGCTATGGTTGCTGGTGGAAGTGGTGTTAGTGGGACCAACGGGGACCATCCAGTCTATGATCCGTGTGAGGCCTAATGCCCCTTTATAGTGGGCACTATACTACACTATACTGTAGTGGGTGCCATCTCTTGGATGAGACTTTAGATCGAGGTCCAGACTCTCAGTGGTCATTAAAGATCCCCGGGCATTTCTTGATAAGAGTAGGGAGTTATCCTGGTGTCTGGGCCAAATTTCCCCCCTTGGCCTTTACTGTGGCCTCCAAATTGTCCATATTTATGATTGGCTTGCACTTGCCCTGCAGTGGTTTGGCGCCGTGTCCAGGGTGTACCCTGCCTTGCGCTCGTTGCTTGCCAGGTAGGCTCCAGCCTCCCACGACACTTTATGGTATAAGGCCGTTATATGTCATAGCATACCAGAACACCTCAGAGGAGACACCACTGTCAAGTGGCACCCCATTTGGGTAAAACTGACGTACAGCAGGGGTTTCCTACCATGGTTCACGTTGAGCAGGTTTTATAGTTAATCTTTAAATCAGAATAAGAATAATGATCCAGATGCAGTGTTAGAGATCCCTAGTGTAGAGTATGCCTATTCACATACAACCCACAACTCACTTATTTTTTGCTTTTTTCTTACCTGTTGGGATGTTCCTTGTGTTTTACATCCAAATACTTCAGAGATGCAATGAAGGACTGTGCCTGGAAACCTCGTGCAGTGCCAGATGCAACAGGTGTGTGACAGATAGAATTCTCAGTTCCAATGGTGACAATATTACTCCTCAAGGGAGTGCCAAGGTGGCCAGCCTTGTCCACTGCCTGGGCTACACAGCGCACATGGAAACGACGACTGAAATACATGCTATCCAGGACCTGAAGAAGCAAATAATAAGTATTAATACCAAAAGCTCAAATTAAAAGCTGACAGTGTTACTTGAACTTAAAAACCCTTCAGTAACAAATTTCACAGTTATGTTTTGTGAATTACAAAAGAATACATAATATATAATTTATTATGGTGTGTTAGATTTTTCAGTTGTAGACCTATTTTAACTTGTAATTTAATTTAATGTCTTATGACCAAAATTGTTTTCGTGTACAGAAAAATGTTTTACTGAACACTCTCTTAGTCTTATAATAATATTTATTGAAAATATACTACATTTTTTATTTTATATAAACATAGCTACTGTTATAAAATTAGCTTCATACTTCTATTTTTTAATCTGCTTGATTTCACCAATTTTTGGAAAACAAGGAAGCAAGGAGTGACTATAAACTAATCAAAACTGCCATTTTTAAAATATTGCAATTTGCCATTATATGTTGAGGTATGCATACTCAAAACATTTTAATATCATTTTAACAATCACCTGCAAAAAAGTGATGTAAATAATCGCATCTAGATGAAGACAGCCTGCAAGAATGGTGGTAATAGTTGAATATCTGAGGACATTACTTATTAAATGTTTTTTTGTCCTTGTATTAGGCCGACCTGTGGAATTAAAAACTACATGCTGTTTTTTATTATTAAAATCCAAAATAAAATTTTCTGTTTATATATAATTAATAAGTCTGTATGTACACTGTATGCAATTAAAAAATAATTCTATTATTGCTATACAATATTATAATATACAGTATGTCATTTATAGTTGTGGTAGCAAAGTGGTAACAAAAACCTTGTCTCAACAATGTAATCATTGTATTGAATGAAATTGTTTGTCACTAGTATGAATAATGCATGAGTAGCACAGGAAAGCACTAATATGTTAATTAATACTGTAACAATTTGTGTGACGACCACACAGCTGCAGTACTTAGGATTCACTGCACCACTCTGCAGTTTTACAGAGTATCTGAGCACAAAAACAACGGGAGTATAACATCTCTGAACGTCATAATATTAGTTTAGGAATATAAACATATTAAATAAGCTGTACAGATGCAGCCATTCAAAGTGCGCGGCATAGGCATGTACCGGGGGTAATCGGCGCATCGTGACGGGAGATGAAGCAAAATATCGTGGTACGTGATTGGTTGACCGACAGAGGAACTCATGGTGCATTGGTCGGTCGTAGAAAGATTTAAATGTCTTTACTGTGCCCGTTTATTGAATATTTATAAGGAATTTTACCACTGAAGGGAAATCTTAGTAGCTGAGCAAAAAAAGCATTCTTTTAATTTCATTAATTTTCAACATAGCAACAATAATGCTTATTACTGACCTTGTGGTTTACGCTTGTGTATGGTGTGTTGTCAGTCACAGTCTCAAATGGGGATCTTGCCCCACTACTATCAGTAGGGGCAGCAACTTCCCAATTGAAGTGAACAGAGGACTGGTTAATGCCAGCTTCATCACAAAGGTCCTTCATGAGGTAGAATTTTGGATAATGTGGGTCACAGGGGGTGACACAAATCAGAGGGTATCCTGGAGATGGAGAATTCTTACTGCTTTCTTTTGACACCTCTTGCACACAATCATATACAGACAGAGACACCACCTGTGGACAGTGTAGACACATTACATAACCCCAGGGATTCACATTTCCAGTTTCAGGTTAAATAACTTAAATATGTCAGAACATTACTATAAAGTTCTACAGTCATGATGTTGGATATTTTATTATCTGTTTTTGTCACGATATTAATCTCTCCTTGTTTCTTTTACAGCTTCCACAGTCCTATAGTTCATCACTCTCTTAATACTGTAATGCATATTCAAAATGTTCTAGTAAAAATATCTACTTGTTCCATAACAAATGTATGGTATCAGATGTAATTTAGTAATATAGCTGCTGTAATATATGCAATTTAAATGTCTAATTCATTTCTAGCTTTAGTAGTCGAGGAACAGAGCATGAAATTGGCAGAAAGAGTGAAAAAGGAGGAGTCTGCAACACAACAAGGGAAAGAGACAAGAGAAAAAAGAAAGAAAGAGCTCTTTGACCTAGTCATCAGAAAAGACAACATTGGAGTTAATTATATGGACCATGTTAGGAGAGCTTGCTATTCTGTTGTTCTTATGAACTTTGATTTCCTGTGTTAAGAATCCCTCTGTTAAAAACAGCCTCTGCCAGTTATTGGGTGGATTTTTAGAATACAGAGATAGGTTCCCATTCACTTTGTAATATCTAAGTGTGCAGAGAAAAATATTTAACCTCAGTTTTTATTCTTTTTAGTTTAGAAAGCAGCTTATCACTTGGTTTTGCCTTTGTAGGCATTATATAAGAGTCTGTGGTTTTTCTGAGTGGTTTAGAATGTTAGGCCCCTGGGATGCATTATTTGTAAATTTGTACAGAGTGTTACTTTTTTGTTGTATGTATGTTGAGTGTTGTTTAATGTATTATTATTATCATATTTAACCAAGTGTGCCTAAATTATAACTATTTTCACCATAGCTATGCCAGAAAACAAAGAACTCATGTGCCTCTAATTATACAAACCGCTTGGGTCTATTCTTTGCCGAAAATCTTTACTAGTTGGGGGCTATGATTATTTAAATTTAAATATTGATTAATCCCCTTAGTTATTCCTGATATTTCTGAAACTGAGCTCTTACAATAGGTGGGGCTGGTAGAATAAGACTTCCTGCAGCCTCCTGATCCAGAATAGTCACTGTTGCCATCGTGATTTCTCCCAAAACTGCCTCTACTGGATCATCAGGACCAAGAACCACTGTGAAAGACTCATGCCACTCCTGGTCCTCATTGGACAGAATTTCAACTTTGAAGAGGATGTGATCAACACCTGCAGAAGAAGAAAGAAAATCTTGAGGTGCAAATCTGTAAACAATTCTGAGAAAAAGAATTGCTTATTTTAAAAAAATGTGCATTGAAGATGGTCCATCTATACACTGATATACTTATTTCCATATAAATGAAGATTTGGCAGTAGATAAAATTAGTACTAACCAGGAGTGAACCTGAGCAATCTGCTTTTTGGATTGTAGTCCATTCCGGATTGGGCTGACCCATCTCTAGTACTGCAGCGCACCTTTGAAGTGCGGTTCTGGTCCCCTTTCCGAATCACTTTGATATTCACCTCTGCAATACCATCTGGACCTGAAGGTTCCTGTACCTGATATGATGGCTCTTCAAATTCAATTGTGGGGGCTGCATGGCAGATAAGGACAATTAAAAAAAAACTTTGTAACAAAACATATTTAACAATATGGAATGCTGTGATCTTTTTTCATGAAATATTTCATATACTGAGTTTAAGTATTGCATTTCAATTATCATAAGATGCTTAAGTATGCCATACACATTATTTTAGAAATTATTTAAAGCATTAGCATAAATAAGTCCAACTTATTTATATTGCCAAGTAGTGCTATCTTAGTAGTAATTATTTTTTCTCAAAGTGTTTTACTGTACTTGAAGACCATCAATATACCACAAATCATTTGATGTCAGATCATCAAAGAAAAAGCCAAAGACTTTTACTATTTAAATCATCATAATTAGCCCCAACTTTTGGATACAGACTTGAAATGCTGCTCCACTTCCTACCGTCCTCATCATTGGTGATGGTGATGGTGGCAATGTCATTCTTGCCCACCCTGGATCCACTCCAGTGATTCCCCATGGGATTGCCCAGATGCACCTGGAATGCCTCCTCTGGTTCAAACACTGAGTCATCATTTAACCAGATAGTGCAGTTCTTCACCTGACAGAAAATATTGTTACAGCTTTGGGTGGCTGATAAGTGTCTCTTAGATAACACACTGGGAAGGGTAGACACTTCTAACTTCAAAGCAGAGAGGATGTTTGCTGAGGTCTGGGGGGGGGTCTCCTGAGCAGAATCATTAGTAAAGTTTATTTTAGTATGCCTAGGCAAGTTGTGGATTAATGGCTTGCAAAGGAGCAGGACAGAAAGACACAGTATAAGTTCACATTAAGAGCACAGGAGACGTAAAGACTGAGATCCAAGGTGATAATGCTGGAGAACAGGACAGTTTTTGCTTTGAATGCTTTTAGTGAAAAGGTAGAGGTATGTGAGCCTAGTGCTGACCAGGTAGATGGAGCAGAAGCAGGGGACAGTGAGCTGATCTCTAAGCAGGAAAGACATGTCTTGCAGGAGGTTAACACTGGAAAAGCCCAGTCATTGCTTTCTTTGGATGACCAAGTGTCAGGACTAGAACAGAATGTTCTGCTGCACAAAAGACTGTAGGCAGTGATCCACCACTTGAGACAGAGACTGCAACACAGCCATCAACTCCTCTACAACTAAAGGAATCACACCTGAGAGTGAATCTCAGCTTCCTGCACCTCCACCTGATTTCCACAAAGTGCCAGAGGAGGAAGACCCCTAGTCGACAGAATACAAAGAGAACCGCAGCAGCGGAAGCAGCCTTCCCAGAGCCAGCAGTGCTGTAACTATGACGTTTACATTGTGTTAATAGCCTGAGCTCTGAGGTCCCTGTGCTGACAGGAGTGACCAATGAATTAGATGCAGGGGAAGACTGCAAGCAGCCTGTCCCATTCCCAAACCAGAGCCCTTTTGACACCCTGGCTACAGATGAGGACTGGGTGAGTGGTGATAAACTTTAAAAGCAGAGTAGCAGCTCTGAAATCTGTGCTGCCAATTTATTAACTGTCTGGAAGAGTGGCACACAGTTTTTCATTGCCACAGAGCACTAAAGTCTTGCCTCTCCAAGAACTCTCAACTGCCCTGCAGCACCAACAAACTCTTTATCTCACAACATTGTTCTGTCTGCATCAGTGACAAATACAGCATAAAGGGTCATTCAGCCTCCCCGGACAAACTTGGCCAGGTATCTGGGAGTCAGGACCTGCCTCACTACCATTTCTCCCATGCACATTTTTAGCACAGTTTGACAGCACCAATTTAAACCCATCTGGGAGCTCACACTGCAGTGCTGACATGAGCAAGCGGGCACTGATTTGGGCCAGGACAGCATCACTCCCAGTAACCCAGTGCTGCATCAGAAAATCGGGCCTGATCTTGTGTTTGCCAGACCAAATCTGCCAGTGGTGATTTGGCTTCACATGAGGGTACCGTTCAGGGAACCCAAAAAGCAAGAAACTGGACTGAATAATGGATTCTGATAATGCTCATTACAAAATGTTCACTCCTGGTACTTTTGTTTTTTTAACGTATTTTGTATTGTATCTATTTTTTTCTATTCTTCCATGTCCTTTTAACATTTATGTTGTCTCATTGTTACTGAGTTACATTTTTAGTGAATGACATTGCAAACTATTTATTTTGGCTTTTATTATTAGTTTAGTTTTAAAACCTGTTATGGTTCTGTTTACAATGTTTGTGTTTTGTAACACTTAAATCTTAGATCTTAGTGCTGCAGTTCAAATTGCGCGTTCATGATAATCAGCCTGCTAATGGAGACACAGGTTAACAACAGCACTGTCTGTCAATCAGTGGTGACCATGAATGCTCTAATGTTCCCAGTATCGTCTAGGTAGAAGGCAGCTCATCTCTTCTGTGGCCTCTGTAGGCATATTAAGCGGTCTGTAGGCTTAGTAGCGGTCTGGGTTTGTCTGGGTGAGCAGAATTTTAGGTCTCTGAAATGCCTTGTATATACTTTATATAAAGTAACTTGTGTGTTTTATGTTGTGTGTAGTGTAGTTTGTGTGTTTTGTCATTATAATAAATATTTGTTTTAACCAAGTGTGCCTAGATTATTACTACTTTCAACAAAGCTGTGCCAGAGAATATAGAATTCAGAGGCCTCTAGTTATACCAGCCGCTCAAGTATCTTGTTAGAAACCATGTACAGATGCAGCCATTCAAAATGGGTGAGGTATTTCGCGGCATACCGCGACACGCCCACCGGGGTATCACGCGGTTCACGTGTGTCACGTGACTAACTATCCGGCGTTGCCTTGTAAAACCGCCAGGGGGAGCTTAACCTCTCATGTACAGCATT